CTTTGCTGTACCCAAATCTTTTGTTTTGAAAACATTCCCAAGTGTTGTCTTTACAGAGTGAACAGCAGCATCATTGTTGCTCACTATTAGTATATCATCTACATATACTAATAATGCAATGAAGGAAGTACCTCTCAGCTTTGTGAAGAGTGTGTTGTCTGCATAAGATTGAACAAAACCATCATCCAGTAGTGCTTTAGATAAACACTTGTACCACTGTCTTGACGCCTGTTTAAGTCCATATATTGACTTATGTAGTCTGCACACCGGATTTGGAGGAAGATTGCCATCAGCTGAGGTGTATCCAAGAGGTAAACTCATGTAAATCTCTTCGTCAAGATCACTGTGCAGAAAAGCACTAGTGATATCCATTTGCGAGAGACTCCAATTCTTCTTAGCTGCACAACCTAGAATAAGCTTGACACTAGCCAGTTTAGCAACAGGAGAGAATGTCTCAAAGTAATCTACCCCTTCTTGTTGAGTATAACCTTTTGCAACTAGTCTAGCCTTATATCTTTCTATTGTGCCATCAGCATTATACTTAATAGTATAAACCCACTTGCATCCTACTACATTCTTACCAGGTGGCAAAGAAACAATACTAAAAGTCCGATTCGATTCCATAGAATCCAACTCCACATTCATAGCCTTTTGCCACTGAACAGATGTTATAGCTTGGTGAAAAGTTTTTGGTTCTGTTTCTAAGGAAACTGCAAGAATATAATCTTGGTAGGTAGGGTTTATGTTTGAATAAGAAAGGTAAGAGGAAATAGGATAGGGAGTTGTGAAAATTTTTGCTGGTGGTGAAGAATTGGGAGTAGAAATTTGAGTAAGGGAACAATGATAGTCAGAGAGATAACCTGGTGCTTTGGATGGTCGCTTTGGCCTCGCATTAGGCAATGAAACCATGGTTGTCGCTGCAGGCACAGTTTCCACAACAACATTGTCTGCATTGCTAGAGTGTGAAGTATGTGTAGCACTGTCACGAGGTGGTGATGTATGC